TCGTGGTTCTAACATGTGAGTCCACGGCGGATGGCGGATCGTGTGATGTCTACTTGGTTGGGACTGCGCATGTATCGCAGGTATCGTCTCCATTCATGTGATTCTGCTTAGTATCATGAATGAATTTAGGATCGGTAAACATTGCATGATTACGGGATTTCTGTTAGTATCAATCTGAAAATTTTGGAGAAAGATGAAATCGATACGTGAACTTGAATCCTCGCTTTTTGGGGTATAACCTTTACAGGATGTGGGGTTTTTAATGCCAGATGAGTTGCAAAATTGAAAATAGGTCGACAATTAGTCAGAAAGCTTCAAATTCTAGGGTTGCAGATTAGAAATGCAGCTGAGAATTGCAAAGGATTATATGGTGGGATGGGTAGGCCGAGGAACTTCATATTTCGAGCACAAAGCCATGTTTCAAATTCTGTAGGAAGTTTCAGAGCCACAAGATCACGGTTTCGACCCTTCTTTGTTCTTTTTCTGCAGCTTCGTCGTTCTCATTTCACTCCCTGGATTGACAAAATATTGACTTATGATTTATGATTTTGTATAGGCTGAAGTATATGATTGGCTCTTAGTTTCCTCTATTATACTTTAATGCAATAACATGCTTATACATTATAGAGAACGTGGATGTTATTTGCAATGATTGAGAGCTGGTTAGTCGTGTAAATCTTTGCAATTGTTGTTACAGGAATCCTGCCGAGAAGTTGAAGCTGTAGTCAGCTTCTTGAAACCGCAGGTTCTTCAATATTCATTATAGACAAAAGTTTCATAGCTTCAAGCCTTTGTCCAATTCTAAGTACTTGGCTGATGATCACAGGTCGTTTTCCTTGAGTTGTGTTCAAGTCGATTGTCTGTTCTCAAGCCTCAGACTTTGAAGGTCCGCTTCTCATAATTCTGATTCTGTTTCTTCTTCTTGGTCAATTTAAGCATTTATGGCCATTTAGCATTGTGTCAATGATGCAATGCTATGTGACTGTGAATTCGTGCTACACCCTAGCCTGATGTTGTATACTGGAAGAGTTAATCTAGAGAATACAATTGACTTCCTTTTTATGCTTCTCCTTGCTAATGTGATCTTCATTACTAATTTACTATATCTCATGAAACAGTATTTTCTATCTGGTTCAGCCATATGTTTCAAGCTCGTCCATCGCTTTTGTTTGTTATGCAAAGTTGCAAACTTTTGGTTTTTCAGGTTCCAACAATGGCAGAAATGGTAGATATGTGGAAGAAGAAACACAGTACTTTTGGAATAATTTACAGCTGGTTTCTTGCAAAGGCATGTGCCCTTAACTGAACTCTTCTTTGAGGGTAGGCTTATCTCTCTGTACAAATGGTTTACATCTTTTTCTTCTGTTAGATCGCCAGTAAGCTTGAGGTTTTTCCTGGTGCTGAGTTCCGTGTGGCATTTGAAGAGGCTATAAAATATGGGGGCAAGGTGGTACTCGGTGATCGTCCAGTTCAGGTGAAATATTTTTATATAGTTTGCCATTTTCCTTATAGGAAACTTGAATCTTTATACATCCGATCAGACTCAACATTTTTTAGATTCTATTTTTGTTTGATAGTATCAAAATGTCATTGAGAGTTCATTTGGTTTTGTATTTCTGTATTTCTTGAAACAGATCACGTTAAGAAGAACTTGGGCTATGATGCCGCTTTGGCATAAGGCAAAATTTTTGTATTCCTTAGTGTTTCAAGCTGTGTTCTTGCCGAGTCCTGAGGAACTTAACAAGATGGTAAGGCTTATGTTCTTAAACATTTTGCGTTATACATCATAATGGGTTTATATTATTGGGTTCTAGATGCTAAGTGACAGTATTTTTGGATGGTATCTCTCAGCTGAAAGACATGGATGATGTGGATATGCTTACTCTGGTAATTCAAGAAATGAGCAAGGAATTTCCATCTCTCATGGATACACTTGTGCGTGAGCGTGACCAGTGAGTAGTACTTTCTCCCTCCATAAAAATATCTTATACAGATTGGACAAGCTTGTCAATGGGTGATAAAATCTCTGAAGCAAAACCAACACATTATTGCTCTGCTTATTTCGTGCTTGCTAATTCTAGGAATCTTATATGATTAATGTAGGGTTCTTTCCCGTCTAGACTCAAATCGTTTTGGGCATCCTTTTTGTTTTGTTTTTTTGGTGTGACAGGGTTTCAATTAAATATGAAAAATTTAACAGTTTTTAACAGTTTAGTCATTTCAATCTAAATTCACATCCTTTTTTGGTCCTGATTTTGTGTAACTACTCAGGTACATGGCGTCGAGTTTACTGAAAGTTGCAAGTGAGCACAGCTCGGTCGTGGCAGTGATTGGAAAGGGACATGTTCAAGGAATCAAGAAGAACTGGAAGCAACCTATAACGGTTAGTAAAACTTGGTCTTCAATTCACGACATAATCTGTTGTCGATGCAAAGCATAAGGAGAGATGAGGTTCATAATTTTCTTGTTAGTATCGGTCGGCAGGTGAGGGAATCGAATCTAGTGTCCAGAATCTCGAGGTAGAGGGTATTCTTCCTTGTAACAAAATGTATGTTCTCTTCTTCAGATGAACGATCTGATGGAGATACCAACACAGAAGTCAGTTTTTACGGCCAAGAAGATTTTGAGCTCTCTTGCGGTGGCTGTGGCGGGACCAGCCATAGTTTCCGGCATATACCTTGCAAGCAAAAGGTAATACGACAAACCACAACTTTTTTTCGGAGTTTTTTTGTTCCCTTACCCTCCAATTACCAAAACTTGACTCAAATGGACGATTGATTATATATACAAATCCTGTGATTGCACTGCGGGTTGTTGTGTTTGCTGATTTTTGACTTCTTACATCACAATTCTTTGTTTTCCCCCTTCTGTCGTAGAGGTTAATAATAGTATGGTTTTTTCTCTACCAATTAGACACATTTTATCGCTTTCAGATTGTGTTCATTCCTGCAAATTTGTAAACTCTCAGAAAACAATTCTTTTTTTTTTTTTTATGATATCGCTTATTAGAAAAAAAAAGGAATTGGCTTTACTTCTGTTTAGTTTTGTATAAAACTGTTACCTTGCCATCCAAGAAACCTCAACAGAACATTCACTTTAGTTGTAAAGTCTGCCCAGTTAGTCTTATTCTTCCAACAAAAAAAGCATACCGGAGCAAAAAAAAAAAAAACACGACAAAAAAAAAACATAACATTACATTCCAAACCAAAAGACTCAGAGAATCAGAACTCATTTGTTTTTTCAAACAAGACATTAGAGGAGGAACAACAAACACAAGAATGAACGAATGGATCGAAGCTCAGTTAACGAAAGCACATTTCTTACGGATCTCACCAGCTTTGCCTGTAAGAACTCCGGTGGATCCAAGCTTGACCATGGATTCTGCAAAATCCTTAGCAAAGGAAGATCCACCCGTCGAGACCTGAGTCTGGACGTAGGTTTTGGTCTCTGGGTCATCCAGAAGGGTGGCATCCGACGTGAACAGGCCTTTTTTCTGAGCCACCACGTTGAAATAGTGAGAGTCGAATGTCTTCCCACTTCCTGGGTCCATGTCCACTATGGTCGTGAAATCGTTCGGGTTGCACCTCTTCTTCAGTGTCCGGACGTAGCTAGGGTTCATCGTAGGGTCCGAGTCCCCTTTTCCCGTGAAGTTGTATATACGGTTGTGTATGATACTGCAGTGAGATATTCCAATGGTGTGACCCCCTGCACAAGCAACACCCCCCCTCACAGTCTCAGCTTCTTACCAAGAATTGCCAAAATAAAATTCTTGTCATTTTTAAAGAATGGGTTTTTTTAAGACATAAAATTTACCCGACAGGACAGCAAGGTCTTTAGCGTTGAGGCCCTTGGCCAAGAAGTTCTGTTTCAGAACGGCTATGTTGGCGAATGGGGATGGCAAGTTAAGGAAAACCTCTGAAGCACTCGAGACGCGTCCATCTCTTCGGCCCAATGGAACTGGCCAGAAGGGTCCTCTTATCTGAAGACGAAGAGAGAAACAAAAAACTCAAGAAGAAGCAGAAGATGATTGATATGCTGTTATATAGTGATCTGATGGTGAAATGGAAGAATCAAGTATCAGTGTGAAAAAGCAAGAACAGTACCACCGAGACAGCGTCTCTGGCGACCAAAGCAAGAACGTCGGCGCAAGAAACCAAGCCGGGACACTTCTTGTCAAGCGCAGACTTGGCGGCGTCAACCACTTCATAGCCCCGCAGGGACAGGTTGGGGATAGCGTCTCTTTCAGCGTCTTTATTTGGAGATTTTAGCAGAACAGAACCATCACATCCCTGGAGAAAGTACATGAATCAGCATCTATGCATGCATCTATCTATATATATATATGTATACAGCCCATGAAAGAAGAAGAAGAAGAAGAAGAAGAAGAAGAAGAAGAAGAAGAAGAAGAAGAAGAAGAAGAAGAAGAAGAAGAAGAAGAAGAAGAAGAAGAAGAAGAAGAAGAAGAAGAAAAGCAACCCACTCTGACAAAGCAGTCATGGAAATGCATCCTGAGAAGAGATGCTGCAAGGCTCGGTTGCCGAGAAACATACTGGTAAGTCACTCGTTGGACGATGGCCTCTGCGTCTGGGCACTTGGAGCGGTAGTAGTCGAGGCGCAGACCCAGTGGCTTGGAAACCGAAATTCCAAGAACGCTCATAAGAACCACTACTGCAATGAGATTCTTGATACCCATATTAATCGTCTCCCCTTCTCTCTCAGCTCAGATTACTACCAACAATGGTAAGAACAAGCTTGGAGATGGAGATGGAGATGAAGATGATGGACCGTCGAATTTTATAGAGCCTTTGGAGCTTCTGAAAACGTCAATGGGGAGTTTTGTATAAGACCCATTTGCGGTATTCTTGGTTTTGTTTAATTGTTGATGATGATATTGAGGAGGAGGAGGAGGAGAACATTGCAGGCCTCCCACGTCTTTTCCTTGGATGTGCTGATGATGAAGATGACCAAGTTTTTCATTGAATTTTACCAAATTTTAATAGTTAAATATGGTTCAACTTGCAATTAAAATCCCATGCTCTTCATGTGTATGGAACACACGTTCCGTGTATATAATATTCTCATACAATATCTCTCCCATTTGCTTCCTTTTTACGATTAAAAAACATTTTTTGTTGTGAAATGTCAATGTTAAACTATGTATGTATCACCTCACAATAAATATTTTCTAATGAGAAAGGAAAATGTATCTTCATTTTATTTTATTATTACTATGATCAAATTTATATAAAACCGAAATAACTCGTATTCAAATTATATTCAAACTGAATTTGATCTACGAAGTCATTCCTTGTATTTTTTTTTTAAACTTAATAAAAACTTAATTATAATGAAAAGGAATAAAATTCCAAAATTTGGTATAAAAATAAATAATTAATAATTTGCACGTCTGTCTGTCAAGCCATCTTATCGCTCTCGTCTTCGTGTGTGTACGCAAGTTGCATGGAGCATCCTTTGTAATTGCATGGGTTTGTAAGAATGTCTACCGCCTCATTTTTCTTTATTACGGGCTTGAATTTATAATTGGGTTTCACGGCCCATTATATTTCTTATTTGGGCTTGGTCTTAGGCCCATTATATGTTATTTGGGCCTGAGATTGAATTTATAACTTCCCATTTGTCGCGAACTGCATGTTCTTTCTGATTTTGCGAGCTTTTTGGATCTCCCTGAGCGTGTAATCTCGCCGTAAGATTGACCGGTACACCAATTGAGTTCGAGATGTCGGTTGGAAACAAATTAGGGTTTATGTAGGGTTCTTACTCACTGGATTTCGAATCGATTAGGGGACTGGAATCAGAAAAGATATCGACTTGCATCGTAGAAACCATCAGGGTTATGGTCCCTCTACCGATTGCGTCTTCTTCCCTCAAACATTTTCTTTTACAAAATGTCACAGATAAATCTATTTACCTCCCTACGTAACGTATCTATACTCGTAGTCTTGGTAACTAGAAGGAATCGAACAAATTGTTGAATCTATGGAGTTTCTGAGTTTTTCGAATGAGAATTCCCATCTGAACTCTGGCTACCTTTGAGTTTCTTCCCACTCTTCTGCTTAAGCATCTCCTTGATCTCTGCTTCCCTCCTATCTGCGATCTTGATCAGGTCCTTGAAACTCGTTGCTCGCAGGCCTCTCCTTGATCTGGAAGGTCCAGGCTCGTCGCCCGCCCGCCCTTCTATCCCGCCTTCGGGCCTTAGCCTCTGGTACTGGCAGAAGATTTTGCAGAAGAAGACGGTGAGGGCGAGGAAGCAAGCTGTGCCGCACATGAGAAAGAGTCCCCAGAAGCTTTTCAGCGAGAGCTGGGTATCCTCGGAATCCGATATCTGCATGGAGCATTCGTGCTTGTACGTAAGCCATTTGTTGTGGATTTTCTGAAGCTCCCCTTCTTCAGACAACTGCAGGATTGCTGTGGACATGTCGACAGCTAGAGGAGAATCTCTCTGGAAAGCCTGAGATTGATGATGATGTCGGTATGGAGTTTCAGAAAGCGTCGCCAAAGAGAAAGAACAGGAGAAAAGATTCGAGGTACGGAGAATACTTACGAATCCCCATCCTGTGCGGGTGAATTCTTGTCCGACCATGCGAAACTTGCAGTTGGCATTGGACAGGAAGAGCTCGATGTATGGACGCTCGTCGACAATGGCAGCTACCCCTCCGCCTCTGGGACCACGTTGAAGGGCAGAGAGATACTCTTCTTCGTCTCTGAGCGAGACAAGCCGTGAAGGCGATATGTTAAGCTCGTTGATAAGGTACTTCCATGCGAATGATCCATCTTGGACACCGATGGGTTCGCTGCTCGATATCAAGGTGTCTATTCCTTCAATTCGTGATGTGAGCTGTTGCACGGTGAGGATTGAAGTAAGACTGGCTGTGTAGCTTGAGTTGATTATCAGAACTACGAACATCCATATGATTAGCACCAATCTCCCCAATGTGCTCACTGTGTTCTCTCCTGATGATCAAGAAAGAGGAAAGAGAAGAACTTTGAGCAGATAGCTGATTCCCTTGAACTTAGTTCTCCGAGAGGAATCTACCCAATACACGATGAAAACAAGGGCGAAAACCGAGAGATTCTCGGCAGAGAAAACGTACTGTGAGAGAAGAACATCGTTGAGAAGCTAAACCTGCAACGATGGGAAGAAAAACGAAACGGGTTTAACACCGAACGGTTATGTTAATGAGGTGAATATGTGGATTGGATTTTGCGTTTTGTTGATCCATCTTTTTGGATCATTTGTTTCTTCCATTTTCATCTCGACAAAATATGCAGGGAATGAGCTCTGAATACAGGAGGTCAAGAACTGGGAACCAACCAGAAGATGGTGATGAGTTGTCGCCTGGGCGGGCCCCGGAACTCCTCGTTGAAACGGTGCTCGAGAATCCAAACGATGGCTCCGACGAAGAGAAAGAAGGAACCAGTGACAATCCACATCTCTAAAGTGAACGGCTTTAGGAACGACCATGGACTCGACTTCGCCCCCTTCACCGGAGCCACCACCACCAACCCTGACTCCATAAATGGCTGCGTGAAATCTACGACCCTTGTTCTGTTTGTGACAATGGTGATGTCCCCAACAGCTACATCAAAGCTCTGGAAACAGGACAGAAACTACAGATTGTAAAACATTGTGTCTTGATATCAGGCGAATGAAAAAAGAAAGATTGCAGTTAGTAGACTCACATTTGCAGCAACTCCATAGACAAGATCATCGTATGACGGATTTTTCTTCCCGTCTCCGTAGAGGATATAAGTACGAGGAACAGGGTATGGAAGCAACGTAATGGCGGCTTCAAACACGTCGATACAGTAGCCTCTAACACCAGGCGGGTTCTTGTCCTTGGAGACATAGTCTTTGTAACTCACACGGTTAGGAACCACGATCCTGAGTGGCTTCCCATTGTTTGGGAACACCCATCCACGTGGAGTCTGAGTTACTTCACCTGGCCAGATGATGCCATAAAGCCGTTGATTGGCTGCGGAGGAGTTTGGAGGCTTTGAGTACAGCTTCTCTGGTGGCTCGAGTGAGAAACCCGAATAGTTTGACCAGTACCCGACTCTCCGTGGACCCGTCCCTTCTATGTTTAGGACATCGTAAGCAGGTTGAACCCGATTCTTGTCTGAATCGAACTGGATTTGCCCGGTTAGACCTGTGAAATTCATCCCAAGAATGATCTGTAGAAACCTCTCTCCTTCATTGAAAACACCGAGTGTCGATAATTTCAGGGCGCTGCTGTTTGTCTGGCGTAGGTTTGGATCAGTGGAGAAACTCACCGAGTTTCCATGGTTGAAGAAAGCCTCTAGAGCACGAGCAACCAACCAGACTGAATCATAAGCGTATAACGCATAAGAATTGAAGCCATTGGGTCTGACAAGATTCATCCATCTCGTCTTGAACCGTGATTTTTTATCGCTCTCTGGTGTGTAATGTCGGAAAGCAACCACTCCCTGTAAGAGATCCATTGTGTCAGAACCCACAGGCTCCATTGAATCCAAAGCTGTCGGAAGCCAATCGGTGGCAATCCAGACATGGCCACTGCCCATCATCCCAAGAGACTTGGCAGTTGAAAATATGGTTAAACCCGAGTCAGGATTCACATGCACAACGTAGACACGAGATTCCACAAGATCAACAGAAACCAGCAGGTCATTAATGGCGGTTTTGTCTGCTCCAGGAGTAAATCCAGCCTTATAAGAGATCTTGGCTCGTTTCTTGGACAGGGCATCACCAAGAACAGATATCCCATTCCTGCCATACTCATCGTCCACGAAGATGGCAACGATTTCCCTCCATCCGAAGTGGGACACGAAATCTGCAATGGCATTCATCTGAAAGCAGTCGTTCTGAGTGGTGCGAAGGAAATACGGGTATTGGAGAGAGGAGAGAGTCGGGTCGGTGGCTCCAAATGACAAGAGAGGTACATGGAGCTCTTTTGAAACGTGGGAGATAATGTGAGCAATTCCTGAAGATTGTGGACCAATGGCTGCAACCACCTCTGTTTCCATCAGCTGCAAAGCTACAACCATAGGCAACATATCATCATCATCATCATCATCATCATCGACATGTCCATTCATCTTTAAGCCATGATCCAAGCAAAGAATGAGAATGTAATAGACAGTTCAAACAGGAAGACATTAAGGGTTATGATCAAAGACACTTGTAATTCAAAAGCAACGATCTCGTCGGGAATACGCAGTTTATGTTAAGTAAAACACATATTTCGTTTAGGCATTTTCACAAACTAATTTCAGACAATTCTAAGCTCTGCTCCCTTTTCAAAGTGTTCAACAGAAGAAATTACCTCCCATGGTGCCGACAAATCCGCTGCAATTCGTGTCGTGGAAGACAAGATTAAGTTTGGTGCCACTGAGAACTGTCTGATCACCGTTAACGTCATCCATGGCCGCCACAAACGCGGGTTTAGCCGCTCTTC